AAAGGAAAACCAACCTGACAGTTCTATGAATTTGATTAAGCCACAAAAAATATGCAAATAATCACGTAAATTAACAACGAAGTTATATTTATATTATAGCGATTTTTAATTAAATCTAAAGAAATTTTTGCTGGAAAAGCCTTGACAATGTTGCAGAAGAACTTTCGGAACCAGGTATGGTACAAAAAGAAAACGTACATGTGATATATACAATTCAAAGAAAATAAATTAAGTGTTTAAAATATAAATCGCACTGGGCGATAAACTAATGATTAACACGTCAAGAAATGTTTGATACTCAAGAATTATCGATTGCCAATTAAAAACCTCGCTGACACTGCTTACATATTATCTGGATCAATACAGACCATTTTGAAAGTTAATATGTGCAAGAAACCATGTTTGGTGTCAAAAGCATTCAATTTTTTGGTAAAATATCACTGATGTCATCACTGATCTCACAGACATCACTGATCTCACTGATGTCTGTTTAATAGACTTTCTAAAATCTGTCAATTAAGCATTTCATGATACCTAGAGATAAGATTTAAATTTATGCATATGATCTGGAAACAATCAAACAGTCACGTAAATGCTATGTTAAATGTAGCCCAATACCCATAAGACATTAGTTTTCTTCGATTATGACACTGTGTAGCAGGTCAGTTAGTTAGTGAACTGCAAAGATTTTAAATTAACTACTAGCCAATAATAAGCTTCGATGAATGATGTGGTGGACTGTTGCTTTCTCAATCACAGAGGCACAACCCTCAAAAAAGTTGTTAAAGAGTGCAGTTTCCTTCTCACTTAGCCCTTAGAACTTAAATCTGTTAGTACTAAGTTGGTTCGGGGATAGTTTAAGCTGCTGACTGATGTAAATTATTTTCCCAAACCAATAAGTCTCGTGACTTATTATTCAGGCTCATAGAGATTTTTATATCTTGTTACGAGTATATACATTTATATATATAACATATATTCATCTCAATATTGTCCAAATATTAAGTATTATTATTGTTAAGAGATGTGGCACTGTGACCGTCGGATCTATTGTGCCCCGTTCTGGGTTTAGAGTAGATTTCTAAGCCCTGTTGCGTCAATATAAAGTATTATAGAACCTACATTACAGAGTTTCATTGCCTCTTTCGTAAGAATATATATTGCCAGCACATGTGTGCCTGACCCCTCATTCTCTTTACAGAATCTACAGTTTGCATCCGTATACCCAGTCTTGTAAGGTGGTGTTTTAGTTTACAGTGCCCTGTTGGAATTCCTGTTATGATTCTAAGTTTTTCTTTTGACCAAATTTTCAAATATCCAAATTTTAGAGTCCAAAACATACTACCTTAAGATATGTCTTTTTAATTTTTGTAAGAATCTCCAAATCTCTATTTTACAAATCTCTAAAATCATTGTGCAGAAGAAAGTGTTGTATTTTATAGATATAATAAACCTATTAGAACTATTGGATTTTAATGAAAAAGTTTGTAATAAATCCACATTTATTGTAGATTATATTACAGATGTTGTTGGAGAGCACATCTTAACAATATAATTAAAAATGGAACGAACTTTTATTATTTCCTTCCAATAGACAACGCGTAACTTTATAAAGCACAAATATTTTAATGTTTGAATCCAGCATAACATACGCCGATGGAGCAATGAACTTTGGCGACCACAAATTGTATGCCACCAACACCATGCCTCATATATAATGAAATTTATGCAATTTGCAGCAAGTAAAAAGCAGCTAACAAAAAAAGAAGAACACAGAGACGTAACTTCAGATACTCCGAAAGAGTTGCAAATGCACTCCAGACTCTACATACAGACTGCAGACTATAGCCTGCAACTTCATTAAAAAAACAAGCAACCAGCAAATGCAATGTTGAAGTGGAAGCAGCAACATAAATGCAGATTGAGAGTAAGAAGTAAAGATCGTTCACCACAAAAAGGGAAGACAACGCCAAATTCGCAGATGAAAAATATTTCAAAATTTTTGTGGCACTGCTTGACAGGATTCTAGCGCTACAAGTTTCGTACTGGTAAAAAAAAAATATAATACACAACTCCGTCATGTCTGTCTGTCTGTCTGTTTATATATCTGTCTGTTTGTCTGCCTATGAACAGCGGATATAATTTATGTTTGCCATGTTACAAGATCGCTAACGTCAATTACGTAGCATTTGTATCAGCTGCTTGTACGCAAGGGCACTAGGAAGTAAATGGGACGCTGGCGGTTAACATATACCTACATACAACACTGATCACCGATCACTGATCACTAAACACCGATCACTGCATGTGCCATGTGCAGTGATCGTTGCAAACACATATGCAGCCAATTAAGTGCGGAATATGCTTTTGAGACTTTAAAGATTTTTGAAAATAAGAAGAAGGGAAAGGAAAGAAAAATGCTAGACCTGGAAAGATGATCCCAAGAGCACTGCCGTAATTGTTGGTAGCATTGGTGCAACTTTGAAAATTAACTACTTAGCATTTGGGCATGCAAATGGAAATGTAAATGCCGGCACCAAAGTCACAAAGAAATATTGCAGAAGTCACTACTATAACGCTACATATATCAATGTCATAGGAGACGCAGTGTGACGTGTGAGGTGTGAGGTGTGAGATACGAACGAGTATGATTTACTGTATGAAGGTTTTACTTGTGGTTTAAATGTATAACTGCAAAAATCTATTTGAGTTAGACTAGTCTGACTTCAAGTTAATATTGTACGACTAGGAACTACATAAGTTTTATGGCTTGTGTGCTCTTCTACTATGCTGATTGCATGCCGGCAGTGAGTTTAGTGATCTCCCATGAAAAATATTGCTCATGCGATATTTTGCTTTGCAGTACTGAAGCTGAACAGATGTCGTGTTGGCGTGCTTCACATTTTAAATTTGTTCCTATACATCTCAGGCGTATATTGTACATGCCATAAAATCAAGCCACGCCCTTTTCATTTGTGGCTCCTCGTAATAAAAATAGCAACAACAAAAATATTTACGATTATGCAGATTTTATTCGTTTTTTCACAAATGAATTCAGTGAAGTTCAAAATTTCGAATGCGTAGACCATGTCACCCTTGAACCGGTAATAACCAAGCTTAACCAATCAGTGTCTGTAACTGGGATTGACATAATTCCAAGTCTTATCATAAAATAGTTATCGTTATTTAGTCTTCTTTAGTCTTTACTTTTAGTTTAACTAATAGTGATTTAATTGTAAAGATTAGTTCCATTATTGAAAAATCAACTCTTCTCCCAAGTACTATCGTAAAATAGTCATTGTTTGTAATTGGGATTAACACGATTATATATATAAGTTCCATTCTGATAACATTATGTCTTATAAGTCTTATTGTAAAACATCATCATCTGTAACTAGTATTACAATAATTGTAAAGGTACGTTCCATTGTAGAAACCAAAATTCTTCCAAGTTTCATCATAAATCTGTCATCGTCTGTAACTAAGAGTGATCTAATTGTATGGTAAAGATACGTTCCATTGAGGAAACATTACGTCTTTCAAATTTTATCATAAAGCAGTCATCGTCTATAACTAAATGTGATCAAATTCTAAAGACAGGTTCTATTATAGTAACATCAAGTCTTCCAATAGGTTAGTATACTTATTTCCTAAATATACTAGGTAGATTGATAATTACCTGAATTCACAATATGTGGCACCTCCAAAATAAAATCAATTACATTTTGTATATCTGGCAAGTTTTAAACGACTTCAAGAAAAGTTTGGTTAGTTTCAGTTTTGCAAATAATTAAAATTAAGGTGCGATGATTTTTTATGAAATGGAAAAAATTAAATATGGTTCAGTAATAAAATTCCTCCATTTGAAAATAAAGAACAATGATGTAATCAAATTGAAAGTGGATTCTCGTTGGATTCTGGTTAGACAAAAAAAAATTGAAAGGATGATTTGCGAGTGTTTGTGATGAAGACCGTTCGGGTCATCCAAAAGAGGTCACAACTAAAAAAAATATTAAAAAAAACTCCGATATTGTGTTGGATGATCCAAAAAATAAATTGCATGAGATAGCAGAGATTGCAAACATATTGTATGTACTTGTAACGAATATTTTACTATAGGTGGGTGCCGCAAATGCTAGAGATCCGGTTCCCAGTGACTATTATCTGTTTCCAAACTTTAGAATATGGCTCCAGGGAAAGAGATTTGCATCAAATGATGAAGTGGAGTGGTGGAACTGAGGTGTGTTTTAGAGGACTTGCAAAATCATGTTATTTTAAACGTAACCAAATATTTATAGATTGTTGAATTCGGTGGGCTATCGGGCTAAATGGGAACTATATTGAAGCATAAAATATACTTTTTCAACAAAAATGATTTTTATTATTTACGCCGGGTATTCATCAATCCACCTAGTATAGGTATGCTTTTAATTTAATTTATATGAAGACAAATATTTCCGCTTGATATGAGATTTTTGATGACTGAAGTAGACAATGACTTCTTTATCCGGTATTAAATAGTGTTATTGTGTTCTACCCAGTTTGGTAATATTACTTTAAGGGAATATGAGTAGTAAAGTAATTATCATACTTTGATTTTTCTTAATTTTTATTTATAATAATAGCTTAAAGTGATTGCCTTCCCGTTAGACTTATACATCACTACGCTACTACTTAATAGAATTTTAGTGTCTTTATGTGTGGTAAAGTATCAGATCTTTAAGCCATTGCAGATGCTAATGCTATTCTATTTCTTTTTATGAGGATATTACTGTGTTATAATTGCATAAAATTTTAAAAGCAAACTCCATCAGACAATAAAGACTGTGAATGGTATCTGTGAAAGATAATACATCAGTATCGATATCAGTATAATATAGAGGATAATTCCGCTCTGTCGGTTTGTGACAATAAAAAATAAACAATTCTGCGGGATTAGTAAACATTATTTTATGTTCTATGTTACATATATATATATTTTCATTTTTTGTCTTTTTAAGTAATACAATATATATTTAATTAAAATTTAAAAAAAAATAAATATTTTTCACGAAAAGAGTTATGCTAGTAAAGTAGGTCTTTGCCTTCCATAATCAAATCAGTGTTATTTTTAAATAAATACATTTCAATGAATTCGTCATACAACTTGTCCTTTTCTCTCAATTGCTTCTCATTGGAAATCTCATCGAGTATCTCTAACAGCTCTTCTTGTTGCTCAACCGTTTGCTCTTCCAGTGTAGACCATAACTTCTCTGAAGCACACTGAAATTCTCCCATGAATTCCAAATATAAATTATCAAATTCCGTTGTATTGATTCCGCTATTGTAGAAGTCATTGGATATCAACTGAAACTGGTATGTCGGCTGTAGTGGGTCCAAATGCTGGCGCAATTGTTCAATATGTCGATTGTTGCTTCTAAAGATTTGGAATAGTTTTCGTTTTTCCGTGTAATTTGCGGAAGCTTCAAGTGCCTGATTAACAGCGTTTATGTACTGTTGCATCATAGCGCTTGTGGCATGTTGCAAAGGCAGTGACATTTCTTTTCTCAGCTCTAAATAAACATTTCGCGTCACCAGCAAAGCACGATCGGTAGTATTCAGCACAAGCTCTTCAATATGCTTGAGAAACTCCTTAAGCTGATAACCTTCCAAATTTTTCTTATTATAATTATAATCAACCGATTCAAAAGTGAAGATCTCAGTAGTGGCAGTAGCGTTGGTATTAGCAGCATCAACAACATCAGCAGCATCAGCAGCATCTGCAGCATCAACAACTCCGGCAGCAGCAAAAGCAAAAAACTATAATACGGAATTATAAAAAATGTTGGCGTCTAATTAAAATTGTTGTACTTCACCTGTTGTTGCGACAAGTACAGCGCAGTGCAGACCAACCATATGTGTAGCCTCAACATGTTAATTCGACGGTAGCAATCGCAGCTCAAACCACGTTGCTCCACAAGTTTGTACCGAAGACTAAACCACGTTACTCTCTTCCAGGCAACTGAAGTGTTTCTTATTAAGAAACAAGAATTTTATTGTTCTTCCTTCTTTTTTTGTTTTGCTGAAGAGCTTAGAGTTGAACTACACGACAAGTGGAGAAGTGATCAAGGTGTGCGGTATGCGGTGTGCGGTATGCAAGCATCGAATTTTGATGGACACGAGACTTGAAAGCCGCTGAAAGCCATTTAAGACTTTTCGATGTACATTTCATTGATGTGATGAGCATTTTAAGAATTATTTTTTTGCATCTTTGAAGTAACCTAACCAACTATTAGAACTTCGAAAATCAATGGAAGCAGAAATTTATAAGTATTTGTTAATGTGAAGGGTTATACAGCTATACTTCTCGTAGGTAACATATAAATAATTCGAAAAAAGAATATTATTCACTTGAAAGCAATTTATTTTTATTTTTTTATTAAGCTTTTTTTGTTAATAAATAAAATTAGGAAGCTGTTTCTCTATCAATTGAGTTCATTTGGTCAATATAAAGAACAATAAACAACAATTTCAAAAGCTCTTTTTGATAATTACCGTTAATATTGTTGAATTAGGTTAGGTTGGAATGACAGTCTTGTGCACCAAACCTCGCATAAGCGCAAGTAATGGTCAATTGTGATACTACAGATGAGGCACTATCCATACACCAGACCTAAGTAGAAGGAAACCAACTTGATAAGTCTATAAACTTCGCTATGTTTCTGAATTTATATTATAATGATTTTTACAGGTCAACTAGAAAAATGGTCCTAACGATTTTATATCCTTCCCGAGCCAATTACAGACATCAAAAGATGAGTAAGAGTACAGTTTCCTCGTCACCCATACATCTCTGACAGGAGTCATTACAAGGCAGATAAAGTCTTCCTAATAAGCTATAACCGATATTGTCAACACCGATATCGTAGTACAGAATTTCTTCCGCTTTGGCTGAAGCACCTAACTAGTAGACTTTTGTCTAAGTCAAAGTCTTATAGTCTGATATCTTCTCAGACTTCAACACATATATATCATAAAGATATGTAGACAATCATCGACGTACAAGTGAAAGTATTCGATAACAACATAACCTCAAACAAAAGACCTGTTGACAAGATCACACAAATTGATATCGCTTCAATACTTCCTTTGAAGTTACTAGAAAACATCGTTCTGAGTGGACAAGTCAGCATCATTTTGAGTCCTAGAATCCATCATCGAGCACATTATTCGTTCAGTATTGTAACGGTTATTTGCTGCATATTGTTTTTAGCAGTATTGTTAAAAAAATGCCAGTAAAAAAATTTTTCATATCCGGTAATTCCAGAATGATCCATATGAAGGCTATAATTCTATATCTATAGACCTATATCCATATAATATATTGTTTGAAACAAGAATATTCAGGTTTCTAACACAGCCATTACTGCTCTTGATATAACCTGAGAATATTTGAGAGTCTTTATTTCTGCCATATTATCAGTTTAGCATGGCTAAGCTAAACAAAAGTTACACATGCTTTTGATAGCTACGGATTGAAAAAGACCTTGTCTGTCACATTAATTTCTGCTTTGGCGTGATAAGCTTTTTGTCAATCATTTCAGAATACGTCAAATCTGGTCATTAAATGTCTGCACTTGCTTCTGCTTCAATAAGGGAACCGTCGGTTTAGTAGCATGACATGTTTTGATTTTTCTTGTAGGTTTTAGTTACAACACTCCATTTATTTTTATAACTAAATTCAGTTCTAAATAGTTTACTGGAACTAAACTACAGTCTCCTTGTTCTAAAGTGTTAAATGAACCTTAATTCTTTTTTTTTTTTTAAATATATGTTTACATTTCCAATTATGAAAAGTTCTTTTAATCTAAAGCTAATGAGGTGTCAATAAATTTTTTCCCATAAACATTCGCACTAGATTGTTTAAAACCAAATGTACATGTTATCTCCACCAAAAAACACCAAAATTAGCTTAAATAAGTATCAAAGACTAATGTACAACACGGCAAAAGCAAGCAAAATGAAATACTATCAATACCAGCTAACAGCACCAATTACCATCATAACCAAACGTAAAAATGTCGGCGTAGCTGTCAAATTTGCCAACTACGTGTCGAATATTCATGAAAAAATTACTTCAATAGTGTTCAATACTGTAGGATGTCCTTAGAAGGCATATGAAGTATATATGGTATTTCGTATTTAATGACAAGATCCAAACTATATATTCAAATAAATATTTGATCAAAATCTCAATCGCAAATGTACTATTTGAACCACAAAGTGGATAACACTGTCGAGTAGTTAGTCAATATTGATTTCTTAAATTACTTACCTTGACATTTAGTGAGAACTCTATAATGATATATCAACTATATTTTAGTTTTTCAACATTTTTATTGTATATATTTATCAAGTCTTTAACGAAGGAATTTTAAACTGCAGGGAAATTGTCTTCAAACATCTAACAAAGCAATTGACACACAGTAGGCGACTGCATAAACCAACCAAATAAGCATAAAATCTATAATGAAAATGTATGGATTTCAGGACACTTTGTGGAAAATGAATTAAAATTTAACTTTCTTACCGAGTGCGTATGGCATGTGAATCTCAAAATGTAAGAAATCACAAATCGAATACGCAATAAATAGGAGAGCGAAGAGCGCTTCATTCTTCTGCATTTCTTCCGCATCAATTTCATGGCCTGCACCGACACTATGGGAACGACGCTTGGAATATTTAGTGAGTTCAGAACCACGTAAGTTAGTGCAACTACGAGATCGATGTAGCCCCTTAAGATTGGTCTTAGCTACTCTACCACGGAGTTTTGTCAATTGTCCCGCCATCTTGGAAATTATAATTTCTCTTCTAATAGAAAATTTGCAAAAAAATTTAATTAGATAAATAAATCCCTTTTTTTAAGGTTTTATAAACAAACACCTATGATATATAAAATTGTATTGAAAAAATTTTATTTTATTTTATTTAATCTAACAATTTTGCTTTTGAATTTGTCAGAATAATCAAAGCCTCCAAACTCCTCCGCAAGGTACTAGAAAAACCGATGTAAATAAAATAATGAAAAGGACGACAATAGAAAAACTAAACAGGACGGCAATAAAAAAAAAACAAAAAGAACGACAATAGCTTACGTGCGAAAAGTCCCAATTCATAGACTGTTGTTATATGGCAAAGAATACCGCACAGGAATGGAAACCCTGTGAAAGAATTGGCCTATGACCAGGTAAGTATTGTGATGACAAGTACATGTAGATGTCTACAAATATATAAAACATACTAAAATATATATTATTTTTATAGTATATATATATATATATATATATATAATATATATATATAGTATATTTTTTTTAAATTGCAATAAGGTTCGATTCGATTTATTTATTTTCGTTAAGATAAAACATCTTAGGGTCATGTTATATAGAGTGCCATGGGGTCGTCATAAGCAAAATTGTTGTTTTTTCTTTCAGTGCTAATTATAAAATTGAGAATGAGAGAAAGAAGAATATGTAATGAGAATTGGGGCTATATGTGCCTCGACACTTAGTTAAACCAGTATTATTCAGTATTAAACATTTATGTCTTTTAAAAGCAATTATTACTATATCTGTGACACTCTATATAACATGCATTTTTGTCAAAGCCCATTTCCTTTTTCCATTTCTCCGCCCTTTTCCATTTCTCCACCCTTTTCCATTTCTTTGAGATCTCCGAGATTGTTGGTCTCTGGTAATACTTTTAGACCGTGGCTTTGTTGTAAATTTGTGTATCAACCACGCATAAGCTCAGAAAAGTACTCTTGATTGGTTAAGTAACCAAACATACCAGAGAGTTATAAGAGTGTGTTTTGATGAAATTCTGCGCCGTCACACAAATCACGTACTAACCAACAACTACTGACAATATTTCAAAAATCACACATGAAAATGTAATTCAGAACATACACGTTTCCTATATTACAAGTTTGTCTAACTTAGCCCAACTCAAGGGCTTCAAAAAAAGACTTCTTTTGAAACTCTTACACAAAATGAGAAAGATTATTTTTTTGGACGCAAATGATCCAAAATACTGTTTTGAAACGTTCTCGTCGTAATGACGTTATTATAAGTAAGACAATAATCTATCAAACTGCAATATTAAATATCTGTGAAATGAACTTTATCTGAACTCATGAACGTGCCATTTAAATGTTTTCAAATGCAGCAAATGAAACGGACATACATGGCGTATGAGTTTCATTTGTGTTACATTTTATTCCCCATTTTATAGCATTGTAGCAAATATTCTCTCCATAATTTATTACAAACAAAAGTCCACACAATTCGTTTTTCGTTTTATTCAATGCACATAATTAAAATTTATATTGTGACATAAATAAAATTTAATTTAGCCAAGCCTTCAGGCAATTCCATAAACCTAAGTAAGAACATGAAACAGTTGACTTAACTCATTTCGATTCACATTTGCAATTTAAAGTCAGGATAAAATAATTTTCAGGATAATCTAAATTTTATTTCGAAATTCAATAACCAATTAATTACTGGATGTTTTACTTATCATTAAAAAACTAAAGCTTTTCAAACGAACACGCACCATACCACAGGCCACAAGTGCAGTGAGTTACTGCTTCCAACTGAAATGATTTTAAGGACGGCCAAATGAACCAATTTAGAAAGTTTAATTAATTTTATGTGGTGCAGAGTCACACATAAGCTATTAATAGACAATTTTGAAGTCCAATCAGCTGGAATATGATTACACATTTGTAAAATCATTCAACAATTTATTGCCAATAAAAATGACAAGTGTACTTCCGTTGACAAATCATTGACTTTGGATTTTATTCGGTTTGCATGTAATAAGGCAATTAAATCAATCGTTATTAATGTAATCCTCATTAATCCTCTTAATATGAAATGAGATTTTGTTTAGCATATTTTATTAAATTTTTATTGATAACTAAACAACTGTAGGAACTCTTAAAAACTATAGCTAATTGGCAGATTGGCATTGACAGATGGAAGGGATTAAAACCTATAATCACACTTTTTGGAACTGTTCGAAAACGACTCGGTCAAGAGAAGAACATGAGAAGAGCATTAGAGTATGAGTTCCTAACTCCATCTGATATTAGAAAATCTCCCAACGCAAGGCCTTTTGGTCTGCATTCGAAATGCTTAAGTCTACTTTTCTATTAGAATCAGTTGCTGGTATAAAAGATCTATAATATTTCCAGTACTCTTCTTTACTGCGAACACAGAACCTATTACTTATTTTTTATTATTTTTCATTTTATTACTTATTTGTGTTTCATTATTATTAACAACTATCTTGTATAGATATAATAAATACTATAAGTACGTTGCAGCTTGAAGGATTAAAATAGACACCCTCATTCCATCGTCCTAAAATGAATCGAAACATTATATTTATACAGACGTCTAATTATGCATTGTAACGTGCCTAAATGGTAAGTAAAAGTAAAGTCGATTCAGAATTTAATGTTAAAGTCATTAGCCAATCGCAAAAGGTATACAGCCCGCTTGTACCTCGACAACATAGCTATCTATAGTTGTATTACCCATCGGTATCTTTTTATCATATAAAAAGCAGATTTAGGCACAATCAAAGTTTAATTAGCCTGTCAATATGTGTGAAAATTTTAACAATCAAAACCTTATCTGTTAACTGGCTTCTGGTATTAGGATTTGCGATAGTACATCAAACATGAAATTTAGCTACAGCAGAGAATCCGAAATCTACAGACCTTACCAAATGCTTTGGAAATATGGCACAATTGCTGTGAAACCAAAAGTCATATCATATCATGATATCATACATTACCAATTCTTAAATTAAAGTCAGCTCTAGAGTCAAATATAGTAGAGGAACGAAAGGCATGCTAATCTGTATCTATATTGACAATCAAGCAGCAATCATCTTATTGGACTCTGTTTGAGAAACTCAGTATAACAGTATTTGCCGGATGTCAATGAAAAGAAATCTGCGGACAAGCTGTGACATTCTTATTTACTGCCAGTCCAAAGAGCTGTCGTATTCTTACAAATACGTTAAAGTATCCCTCCTCAAAACAACAGAGTAAAAGTTATTTGATGGTTAACTGACAGTTTACCATGGTATACATTATCATCTCAACAAGATGAAACTGTTTGAGGGAAGAGAATATCGGCTCAATTTGGAATCACAAAATTTTTATGATTGACTAAGTTGATCTGAGCCAAGTAAAGTTTGAACCAGACTGGAAATTCTTATCCCAAGTGATATTAGGAAATCTTCAACGAGAGACATTTAAAGGCCCCCATTTGAACTACTGATTTTCTACAGCTTTGTAAGAATCGTTGTATTTTATTTGAGTAAAAAAGATTCTATTGGCTGCATTTTTGGACTAGATATTGTGAGATCCGTATAGTTACACGTCTTAAGAGATCAGTGTTGGAGATATGCTCTGGGCAATAAATCGTAAGCTTGCATCTGAGGCATTGAGATATGAAAACTTATATAAATCAGTTTTATATATTTCCATAGTTCAATCAATATAGCATTAGAGTTAATTAAATGAAATTCCTTTTTTTATAACAAGATCATTTGATATCCAAATATTACTTAACATATTAGACGTATGTTTTATTTCTAGTACATGTTTAATAGAGGTACCAGTTAAATTGCTACATTCCATAAACGTTATCACAGTTTTTATGATGTAGATTTCCAAGCCAGTTATGGTCTCATTTCAAATCTATCTACATTATATCTAACCATCTGAAAATTTGCCGCATCTACTCGCCATTGGTGGTTTGTATGCAAAAATTTTCAACATTAGTTGCTTATATCTTGAAAACCAAATTATATTGACCTATAGCATAGCGCAAAAGTTTGATGTCCTTACTAACATCCTTTGTCAAAAAGGCATATATAATTTATTGGGAATCTTGTATTATTTATTTTTATTAATATTCCAGCAATAATCGTGTTTATAAGTTAAAACTGCAATCCTATTTCATAGAAAAATCTGATAAAAACGTATCATTATCTTTTTTGGAAAACATGTATTAAATTTAATCCAAAATTATTGATTCTGTGATTCCCTAATTTATAAGACATTAAAAAATTTACACAAAAATTTATTGTTACCTGCTTTTTAGGTTTAAAACTTTACTTGCTGAAAGCACGTATTCACAATAGACTAAAGCATATTTTTGTCTTTCTTTTGCATATAAATCTTATAAAAACCTTAAAAATTTCCACAATTTGCTTTTTATTTTACTTTGAAGACTTTTATCATTTTTGTGTGTGTTTAAATAATTTTTAATCTTTTTATTAGATTTAATTTATTACAAACATTTTCAGATTACATAGTTGCAAAAATTGGTTGAAGACTTTGCTTAATTTCTGTAATAAATTCACAATAATTTATTTCTCAAATTGGTTTGACTTCTCAATAAAGTTAAATAAAAAATCTCAACTAATATATTTTTAATTTTTATACATGAGCGTGATATATTAAAGATAATTATTTAATATTGGAAAAAAATATTTTAATATTGTATTTAATAACTTCCTTTTATAAATAGCCAAACATATGTTGACATCACATCCACATGTTTTTTTTATGGATTCGAACTGTGTGCTTAAAAGTTGTTGGTAGGAATTTGAAAATAGTTCTTAATTGTCAAATATTACTGAAGATTATTAATAGTGATTTCAAACATGAGTAGATTTAATTTTCATATGTATACATAATTTTGATTATTGAAGTTCTATTTTTTATATGCAATACACAGACCTTAATATCGCTAATTGATATGTCATAATCAACCAAAAACACTATTATTTCATCCTCAGCAAAATTCATATATAGTAAAATTTTTTTGATAAATATATTATTGTATTTTATTTACATAAAATGTTTATTTACATATGTTTATTTCCATTTATATATTTATATATTTAAATTTAAGACGCATATTAAGAAAATAATAAAATAAAAACATAAAAAATAAAATAAATTATTATTATGGCAAATATTCGATACGTTTTTTTTTTAAGGTTTAAGTAATAATTAAAAAAACGTAAAAAATAATATATTAAAAATATTTTATTAAAATGTTAAGTGCGGAAAACAATGAAATTGCTATATTACTCAAGTTATCAATGCATTTGTTTATTGTGAATAAAATAATATGAATAATGTCATTATAACTTTCTACTGTGCACAAGATGGCGCGAGAATGCACTTTCACCGCATGTAGGACAATTAACAAATAATTCATTTATATATACATTTTTACAAATATATTTTACTTTTTATATGCAAATAATGTAAAATGTTATTACTTTTTTAATGTGAAATCAATTCAGCTAATATATTCTAATTATGCCACATTTTTATGAAGTTTGAGAAAATATTTACATGCAAACGAACGAAAGGCGCGAAATTTAAATTTAAATAAAAAATTCTTAAAATTGGTGTTGTATTTTTTTTAAATCGCCATAATTCTTGAATTTGAAGATTATGTTTAATATTTTAAGAATAACTCAGCAGCTCACATATTTTTTATATTAAAAAAGATTTAACAAACTAAATGAGTTTTATTTTGGAATAAAAATAAAAAGAATATAAATTTCTAAAAAATTACGTTAAATTTACATAATTAAAGATTAAAACTTTTTCACCTAATTCCATTAAAAGGTTTGAGTACTTAAAATTATTCAGCGAAAATGTTTCGAGAACTCTTCACCAACCAGGACGACCGCAATGAGATCACGCAGCTCCGGAAACGTCAACAGTATGAAGAAGAACGTAAGGAACGCATTTTTAATGCAAAACAACGTCTTTATGGGGTAAGTGTAAAGCACTTTGAGCACTTCTAATTCACATTTATTTTAATTTAACTCTGCATATATGAACAATATCACTTCAGGTGGACGTACCAGGTCTCGAGCTCCAAATAAAAGATAAAAACAAAATTAAAACCCTAAAAAGGGAACAAGACGAGCGTTTCATAGCTCAAGAGCAAGCGCGCAATGACTTGATCAGTACTTATGCACGTGAAGAAGAAATTTTGCGTAAAAAACAAATACTTGAGCTGGACACATTTCGTAAAACTTACCAACGTCCAGAGCAGAGACGCGAATTCGATATTAATGATCCGATGATGCTGAAGAACGCTAAGAATATACGTGATGGCGATAATGATAGAAACTTGGGCTTGGGTAGCGCACAAGTATTCGAAGGTGAAGATATAAATTTTGCTGATCGCAGAAGGGCACAAGGTGAACAACAACGTTCCTGGTTGAATCAGCAAATTGATGAACGTATCGCAGCTGAAAAGGATCGTGAAATCGCTCACAAAGCTTTGGAAGAAGCAACTCTTTCTTGCGATAAAGTACTTGGTAACTATTACGTTGAGGATCTGAAACTGCGACAGGAAGAGTTTTTTAAAGTGCTTAACTATAACAAGGAAATGGCGGAAAAAAGAAAATTCAAAGACGAACAGCGTAAGAAGGAAAACCGAGAAGATGATTTGGCTGAAATTTATAACATTCTAACTAGTGATATGTTCAGTGGTAATTCAAAAGGTCGTAATAATTTCAGCGATATAGAAATGACCCGATTTTATGAAGAGCGTCGTAAACAGAGAGAGGAGTACAATAAAAAGAAGAGTGATGCTGGTCTGTTGAATAAACAATGGGAGGAATTTACCATTCATTGGAATAATATTGGAATACTAAAGCAATTGGAACAAGATCGTAAGGCAAAGCATCTATTCATGGAAACTACACGCTATAACCTCAACATGGCTAAGGAGAAGTTGGAGCAGAAAGAACATGAGAGACAAACATTCCGTAATGTTATCACTCCAGACTTTTTCGCACAGTTCAATAAAAACTCACGTTGAACACAAATTTAAGTGCAAATATCACAACTTTTTGTCAAATTATATTTTTTATTAATAAATTTGAGTGCTCCCAAAGACTCTCCTACTTTATTGGTAAAAAATATAATTTACTGGAAGATTTTCTGCGCTGCGTGAAAATTTTGTCAATAACGTTAAGATATGTTTTTCACCCATGGACTCTATATATTTTGTACACTTCTTGATTGTTCGAGTTTTTCGGAAATAAATTTATTAAAAAAATAAAATCGTTTAAAAAATAAAATCGAGTGTTTCCGTTTTTTTGCAATTTTAAAATAAAAATAGCACAAACGCAGAATGTCGGTACATTTACCATATAAGTTACCCTAAACCAGGCACTAGATGATATGAAGATTCTTGACAACTATAAAATAGATAAACCGACCCGAAATGACAAGTGACCCCATCAGTGCTAATTTTTTTATAGATATGGACATCATGTTAAAGTCAGCTAAGTTGGAAATAAATAGACACCTCACATATATATGCTAGATAACACATAATATAATCCGTTTACTTATATGTTATCTAATCCGTTTACTTTTTGCTATTAAGCATAATAGCTATACTAACAGGGTACTGTCTCAAATACTAACCATAAACAGGCACTTTTTAGAATCATAGGATTATAGTCCCTATAGTTTCCTATTCCTTTTATTTCTTCCTATTTTTTTGTCACCTATTCACCTGTCTGTCCCTGTTCGATACCAACAAAAATGCTCTTATATTTTGGAAATTCATGTCTACACATTATCTGCATATTAGACATTGAGTGCATTACCTACTTTCTTAAAGAAATCAATTCATTTTCTGGTCTAGAATCAAGGGGATCAACTAACTAGATCTTTATTGTATTAAAACCAATTTGATTTGATTTTCAAACTTTTAACAGGCCTTATTGTTGATTTTATTTATGCAAAGCTTTTTACTATCTACAGATAATACACTATTCTATTATCTACAGATTAAAGCCTGATTGTGGCAGTATTTAAAACTCATCTCATACTAACCTGAACCAGAGCTCAAATTCGAAAATCTCAAATTGATAGTCAACTTCTTAAATCCTGGCAAATTTATAATGAGCAAATGGTACACCATATGCGAGAAATTGCAATTTCTCCAGAATATGACACGACTTCTTCTCGTTTTGAACCAGAAATCCCATTAATATTCTAATTAAAGCACGTCAAGGAAAATTTTGTTAGTTTCTCTGAAGGACAATTCGCTTCACTATCTTGAAAGGTAAATAGGTAAGTTATATAAAAGTTATAAACATATTCATTAGGTTTGGGTGGAGAGTCCTAAAGTGATCCGTACTTGCTTCAACAATTAATGTAGTAAGAGAGAGCACGGACTCTATCGGTGGTCAGTTATTTCCTCAGTATGAAAGGAAACTTATTTACATGAAAATCATAAAAATCTCTAAAAATGTAATAATTTTTTTGTAAATAAAAAACATTTACGAACATTAAAAAACTGTGCCGATTTATTGTTTAATTATTTTTTTTTTTTTTGAAAAATTTTTGAAAATCGTGCGTCTTTATATTAATTTTAATTTAGTTTGTTTTAGTTTAGACATCGAATATTTATTAATTTGATACATCGAATTTAGCAATACTGCGCTTTGAAATCGTAATCATCATCACAATTAGTTACCAGCAAATCATCATCCTTGCAATGATGTCTATTTCGTCTGTGCACATCGGTCTCGAAACACTCATCATGTAAACGCTTTTCAGTACCTCCACGACTTTTGCTACGATGTCTATGATGTTCCAATGTAGAGTGATGGTGAGAATGTGAATGTATTTGTGCTGAGTGTGGAATAGGACGATGATATGATGTTGGACTTATATCACGTGGTGGTCTACAATGTTTAGATAATGGAACGGGATCATCAAAACGTGGACAGGCATGATCACCCACTGGTGAAGCAGTTTCATAGCGTTTAGAAAGCAAAGTGAACTCCTGATGTGCAGAGCACAGTGATTGTAAGCGGTGTAAGAGATCCGTTTCTGGTAAATCGCGCAAATGTAACGTTCGTGCAACAGAAGTGCGAAAGGATTGCAACTGTGATAGACGATGATTGGCATCAGAGAGTTGTACTTGCATACGACTGACATCTTCACGCAGTGACTGTAATTTCAAAAACAAAAAAAAAGGAAGTGGCTTATATATAGACTGATATATAGACTGATTTAAAAAAGAATGGGTAAACTATTGAGGATAAATAGATTATCAATAATCATATATAATCATATATAATAATCATGTTTTAGAAAGATGTTTATTATTCAAATTATTGTACCGAAAGATTAAATTAATTTTTTTTTGGAATTCTCCAAGCCAATTGTTATAATAGAACAAAAAAATAATTCAAAACTATGGATGGATTGGCAAATTCTCTATAGACACGTTTAAAAGCCATGTTATAGTATAGGTATTAAGTGGCCAAATATTTTTACCTTTCAGTGCAACACATAGGCCATTAAAAAAAATTGAGTATTCAAATTGGTGATTATCTCTATAAAACCCATGACTGTTACTTGGTTATTTATTTCGTAAATTTTTCTCTACAGATCAACACTCTAAGAGCATATAAATGAAAACCATTAATCACATTACATATGTATGTGTAAATTGATATTAAATCTGAGGTGGATAGTAAAATGGTGTTCAGAATTATGCGGCTTGGACACGAAACTGTACGCGAGGAACGTGTTCAAAAAGATAAAGCTACAACAATATTGGTCACTTGTACAAAACTGCATAGAGATTTGGAAAGAGTGAGAAGCGACACAATAGTTTTTTCCAATTAATCCGAATCAGAGGAACTTTACCGGAACTCTACGTAAAAAAGCCCATTCTGCATAACTAAAAATTACTGCCACTGCCGAAAATATCAAAAAAGTGTTTTAAAAGGTATGAGGATGATTGTGAAATTCGAACCAGAGGCTATAGGCATTTAGAAAGTATTAAAAAATATTGCTTGAAGATTTAGATATAAGAAATTTTTTTAAGTATTGGGTGCTCCGTTGCTAACCCTGGATCTATTATACAATTGCTTTGATATTTCTTAGCCTCTGTTGGAAGCATAGGTTCGAATATGTTAAGATATGTTGTACCGTTACTACTATTATTACTTTATAGATCAAAGCATAACCAAAACAGAGGATTAAAAAAGTTGACCACTGTCCTGCTAGTCGAGTATGTCACAGCGACTATTTTCTGGAATGGCAATGCCATGTTGGTTATTAACTCTCTTGATAAGATATGTCCAATATAAAGATGCTGGAAAATTTTAACACCACTATTACCGAAAAACGTAACCATTTGTGAAGGCCAATATATTTATTTCTTTTTCAAGTTGAAAATCATAAATCACACCACAAATTAAAATAATATTCACCTAATTCACCTTAGGTAATTTTTATTTCCGCAGTTAAGAGTTTGGTTGAATAGAGTAGATATTTTTAAACCTCTCATGTAGTGCACAATTTATAGAGATTAATTAAGTTTAGTTTTCTTTGGGAAAGTGTGTCGATTTAAGAGAAAATTAACAGCAAAAAGGAAAACCTTTCTCACGCCACTCGTATAACCTAAAGTGAGGTAGTAGATACATCAAAAGCGCGTAGGTTTTAAGTACTGTTGGAAAAACTTATATAAAAACGACAATAATTACAATGTCATCCATTGCTTTGACGATGGTTAACTAAATTAAATTGATTATACCTAAACGTATACTTAAGAATGTACTTACATTAATGAGAGTCTCATCACGACAACGTCGATTCTGAGAAGATTCACTAGAAGACTTCAAACGTTCTTTAATGACACTTAGCTGCGATAGTAAGCGTGTTTTTTCCTCTTCCAAATCGCAGACCTGTGTAGTGAGTTCGTCAATCTTACGAGCACGTTCTAGTGATGTGATCTGTTAAAAAAAAACCAATATTATTTTTTCATTTTCAGTCCATCTAACTGCACTATGTTTGGACCTTATATTCCACAGCTTCAGCTAATTGCGCTTTAACATCGGCAATTTGCGTCTTCGCATCTACCAATTGTGCTGTCAATTTATCAATTTGCTTGCAGGCCTTTTTGGCACGACACACTGCCTCATCACGTTCACCCTACAACATGCAATGAAGAATCAAAAAGCTTCTTCATGCAAATAATTTATGCCAGTTACCTGTAGAACACATTTGCCACGTGCGCCATCTTCTATTATAGCCAACTTACGTCTCAGTAATTCTAAATGCAGATCACGCCTTTGTACCTGTTCTCTAAGTATTCTGACGCGTCTCTGTAGGTTATAAACACTGCTGCTTTCCTTTAAGGGTATATCATGACATGAACGTTCACGTCGTAATTTACTATGTGAGTGTGAATGTGAATGATGATGATGATGTTCACAGCATTCCTAACATTTTCAAAGAGTTTAGTTGATAACTTAGAACTGACGACGTAAAGTATACCTTATCTGGTGTGTGTTCGTGTCGATGATTTTGATGATGATGTACATGTGAAGATCCTATATGTGCATCGTGCGTTTGATGCTCCAGCTGAGCTAAACGTTCCGCGCGTTCCAACAAACTCTCGGCCATAATATTTGTATCCATTCCCAAAGCTGGGGGTGCGGTACACTCACTCCAACAAAGCGCACGTGCTAAACGCTGTAAATACTCCGACAAACCTAAATGATCCTTTCGTAGTGTATGGATTTCGGCATGACACTTTTCGATACGCTCCTCAAGTTCACATTTTTGTGCTTCTTCTGTACGCAAGCGGCACTGAGTCGACTCCTTAGTTTCCTTGAGTTTTTCATGCTCACTTGAGAGTTGATCGCGCAAACTGTGTACTTGCTATATATAAGAAATTTATTAAAAAAGTTTATTTTTATAAATGGAATATACATATATAAGTAACTATTTATGCCTACCACATGCATAGCCTGATTTTCACTGAGTACTTCTCTCAGTTTGTCCTTTATGAGTGTCTCACATGGTTCCGGTATATTCAGTTGCGTTGCCAGACATCTGAGGAATTGTAATCTATCGCTTTGGGAACGATCTAAATTATTTTGTAACCGATGGCAACGAGATTCAAAGCCACGTAGTTCCTCTTTCAATTTCTCAGCATTAATCTCGCTTTCAGTCAAGCGATCACGTTGTACTTGCAAGTCACGTTCATATTGGCGACAACGTGATTCCAACTCATGATTGTGATTGGACGCACTGTCCAATTGACCACTTAAACGCTGTTTCTCTATATTAGCCAATGATTTCAGATTTAATAGTTCATTTTCACAACTGCTGAGAGTATCACAAGTAGAGGTTACTTTTGATTTAGTGCGTTGCAGTTCAGTCATAACTTCATCCGTGCGTGCCAAAACGCATTCAGTAGATAAATGGTTATTCTCACATATATCCATGCCAAGACAGGTAGCCAGACGTCTTAGAAAGTCATGTAACTGTGTTTTAAGATGTTCCTTCTGTGTTTCCTCCTGCGACAGATGAGTTTCGAGATGTTGTATTTTACATTGCAGCTCGGTGCCACGTTCATCTGAGGTACGTTTTTCACGTTGTATTGTTTGTATGGTCGAATCACAACGTGCTTGCACGGTTTGCTCACGGTTTTCAGACACCTGTAAACGGTTCTGTAGGGAGCTTATCAAGGCGGATTGACGGGCAGCCTGCGCACGTAAATTTTCGCATTCGTTATCTTTAGCGCATAGTGCATTCTTAGTTTCAGAAAGCTTTATTTGAATAGTTTAAATAAATATTGAATCATGTTTTTAGTAAGTTATTGAAAGCGTCTTACCTCACTTGATATGCGATCTCTTTTATATGACAGTGCTGCCAATTCACTACGCAATGTAGTCACCAAATCTAATCCATGATGGTGATCACCGACTGTAATCGTTGTATTGCCGCATGTAGTATCTATCTGTGAATGTACACAGTTTAAGACGTGTGAGAACTTATTGGTAAATATTTAGAGAAGTATAAGTAAAATCAATAATTAACGTATATCTCAAGGTTTGCTTAACTGTCGTATTCATATCAAAAATGGTAATTGTAGGATTCGTTTTTTATATTCTGTTTCATATAACCATAGAGTGGGTTATATCTAGTTCTTTGTTATTAAATCCTATTTAATTTAAGATTTTAACATGTGTAGATTTAGTGAATGGCACTTGAAAAGCTTGATAAGGCAGAAGTTCCATATATAAAGCAGTCTTAGTGAAACAGATTATTGAAGATAAAATCTAATTCAGAGGTGCAAATAAGCACAATCATATGTTCTTCACATTTGTTTTAACTTTACAGTCAATAAGACATACACAACAGATTTATTTTGGACTCCTTTATAAAAATGGAAGTCCTTGAATATCTCCGAATGTCCGAAATTTAACCAACAACAGTTTCCAACTGCCAAAAGGACTTGTGTCTTCGTCATATCTGGTCTAACACAACATCTAAACCCACGATGACTTTCAAAGTAGCAGAGCACTCGGGTGTTTACATGTAGAAGTGAATATATAAACTCGTTAAAGCCATTATTTATTATTAATCTGTTACTCTTGGTTTTATTATTATCAAGAAAAACAAAAGTACGCGGTAAATATGAATCTCTATGACACCATTCCTGATTAAAGTATCCTAGGTATTCTACGTATCTTAGTTCAACAATATCCTTTGTTCAACAATCAGGCCCTCATTCAGTTTGATGTTATACCTGATACCACAGAGTCGTCTTTTAGTAAATACTTTTATTAATATAATGGCAACCAAATAGTTAAACAATATCTATTGATCTACCAAATAATACCATTATATTACTAAGTTAGGTTTGACATGATATTAGGCACATACCTATGTACGTCCAAGCCTCATTAATAAATTATCTATTTACGAGTTTGTATGGAATATAAATATTCCATAAAAAATTTTCACCGTGTGACACCCCATGAGGTAATGACCCCTACGTTTATCACAATAACTTCGTTAATAAAAAAAAATTTCACATATAGAGTAAAGAAATCCCAAATGTAGACGACGTTTCTATATCTACCAATGATATATGCCATTTCATGATATAATATTCTTTGGCAAATAAATTATTGGGGTTAGTGTTTGATGTCTGTTATTGCCTTTATAAATAAAACTCTTCCTTCGTCTCACAATTAATATAATTTTCAGCAGGTATAGTATTATTTGTAGAAGTATTTAATGACGTTAGTCTGTGCGACCAAGTCAGCAACAATCTCAGTTCTGGAACTAAACACCTTCACTGAAATAAAGTATTGTATATAAATACACGTAATGGAATATTAAAAGAAAAATATGGTTTCTAAAAAGTTTCCAAAACACCTTTAGCCCGGTATGACTTTTCGTCTTTAATGCTGTTTTCTTCTCCTTTTCCCTATTTATTGTCTTATTCCAAAGAGGCCTTAAAGTGCAAAGTTGTATATTGCGTGTCTAAATGCCTCATCCACAATCATTCTTTATCAAGAAATTTCACTTTGGAAATAGATACTCGATGGACTTTTTTTTAGCTCTGTGTAAAAGAATTAAAGCGACTGAGAGAACCTGTTTTGAATAAAGGGAGTATTTTAATAAAAATAATGTCGATTGCTAGGTTTTTTCCAGTGTGAATTAAATGGGGCGAACTCAGAAGAAGGAATAAAAATGCTTACTTCTACCAACTCCATTAAATTACAATTTATAAGTCTCTCATAGAAAAATTATTTATTACCAATTTTCTTAGGACCTCGTTTCTTTCCTTCTCTGTTTCTTTTTATTATAGATCGTTAGTGTAATTAATGTAAAAATTGCGCTCACTAATTGGGAATAGATGGTATGTATACTTTCTTGAATTTGTATTAAGCATAAAATATTTAAGACTTCAAAGGGGCTCTATCAGCGTCAAGGACTGTTATATAGCATTTATACCATGCATTCTTACGATGCTGTATAGATTATCAAAACATTTTGATTAATAAACTTTATAGTGTAGTGAAAAAAATGATACTCTAATAAAATTCAAACCGAAGTGCCCGAAAAATCGGAATCGCGTGAAAACATATATTTCTGTTTTTAGTTTCAATAAAGTTCCCATTATCTGTCGATGCCTAGATTCTTTCTTTCTTCGTAAAGATTCAACTTAAAATCGGTCCTACTTCAAAAGATAATAGTGTTTGGTTTTTTATTCCACTTTACCAGATGATGATGCGGTGATAGCCCAGGTACATGATCATGATGTATATTGTGGTGATGATGATGGAGATGTTGGTCAGCAGGCATCTTAAATGGATTTTTGAATTACTTTCACTAAGTATTTCACTTTCAGCTTTTATTTTCTTTATAATTTTCTTTTTTTTTTTTTTTTTTTTTTTTTATTTCAATAGATTAAGAAGTTTGTTTCACACTTTTCTGCGCGCTTATCAATTTCAAAATTGGTTTTTAATGTATTCGAGGTCCTCGCAGACCTGCCACCAACTACCCCGAAGCTAAACTGAAGTTTGAAACTGCAGTTCCCCAAAAAAAGTCATAATCGAAATCAAAATCGCAACCGTGAGAGCCATTAAAATCCAACTTAAGAAATTTACCGTAACATAACAGCACATGCCATTCAACATATGCACATAAACATGTTGTGCGGATGTCGGCAAGGACAGGGATGGCGGCGGGCGCGTGCTATAGGCGAGGTATACACATATTTATACAATGCTGTGGAATGAAAACGAGCTCAATGGCAACGCTAACAAAAATTTCGTATGGAATTTCAACAATTTATGTTTACGATAGAGAGAATAGTAATTGTTGTTGCTAATGTTGTTGTTATTTAGGTCATTCACATGACGGCACAGAAAGGATACAGCGATAAACAAACAGGCATTAATAGAAGTAGAAGCCCAACTACCGTATTATACATGAAGCCAATGAGTATCATTAATAGCCTAACTACGCACTAAGCAACTAAACGACGGATATGATATGTGTCAAAAAAGGTGGCAAGGTTAATTATTGCATACAATGGAGCAATATTTCGTTAATATTGAAAAAAATTTTTCATTATATTTCTGAGTAGCATTAGTTTAAAGGCTATGACAATACAATGTCGAAGATAAATGCTTCTAAGTCCGCTTTCTTTACATATCTAAGTCTGCTCTTGTGTTTACACCCTATACTCAGGTGTGTAGGTGTTTGCAAGATATATGTGAGCTTAGCATTTATTGATTCAAAATTTATATGCAAACTAAAAATATAACTGATGAGACCGTACTGTGATCTAGTGAAGCCCATTTCAAGAAATTGACAGAGTATCAAAGTAATACCATTATTCTCCTATAATACCTTTTCATCACTTCACGCAGTTTGTGTGATCATTACTGGGAAGGGAAATAAGGCATAAAGGATTTTAATTATTTTCTGTTATTGAAGGAAGACATTATTGGCTTATTGAGGAATAAGAGGTAAAGGATTTTAGTTACTTTATCTTATTGAAAGCATTATTGGTTTTAATAAATATCAAAAATTATACTTAGTGCTGAAAAACAACAGTTAAAGTAAAAGATCGTGACCTTTGAACTTTAAAGGCCCAACTTATATATGAAAGTAAATAACGTAAATTCGTAGAGTTGCTCTACTTTGAACCCACATTTTGCATTTTAACTCAAATAAATCAAGTCATAGTATGCGTTTCCCTTTTTCTTTCACACGATCTTATGTTTTGTTTGTAGATTGTTCTTAGTTCCAAATATATTTCAGTACATTGGTTATAAAGCGAGACCCACTGTAACATATTCAGTTATGCATAACATAATTTATGTTTTAATCTTGTACATTCAGTTTGCCACAATAGAAAAAAACTTCCCTAAGCGACTGCATATGTTTCAATAGAATTTGTTTATTTTTGTTGATACGAGCAACAAATCGGCAATCGAAGTGCTCATAGAAAACCTCTCCGAGGTTCGAAGTGAAGACGAATGATGGGGGAAGAAAGACGGAAGACGGATTTGCATAGACCATTTAAGCCGAAAGGAAACATGACAAATTGTTCAACGTTTTGCAAATTATTTATTGTGACTCAACATGCGAAAAATTACGGATAACCACATTAAACGTTTCCTGCTTAGTCCTCTGAATTATTTCCGGATTGTTTCTTTTTTTATTGGCTTTTAACCTTAACATTGACAACTTACCTTGCCTTCGGCGTTGGTATCGCAGAGAAGCTCAAATATGCGCCAATCTTCGGCTGTATTCCCATTGGAGCTAAACCGCAATTGTTGCGACATTTCAACGCCTTTTTTGTTTTTTAAGTTCTTGCACACTTTTAGATAAAAGTTAATTAATTAAAATTAATTATTAAATTTTTACACTGTGATTTTATTAAACATTTCCAACAATATTTGATATAAACAAACTTTAAACTTACGAGTCCCGTTGAGGCACACAAATAAACCATGAGTTTCATTTTTATTTTTTCTTCCTTCGTGCGGGTCTAACGTTTATTTCGTCCTTTTTCCATACAATAAAAAATTATTTAATGTGGTTGCTACAATAAAACTAACAGGCGAGGGTGTTTCTAAGGCAATCCTACAGGAACCTTCAATTTGCTGCAAATTTCCATTAGCAAACGTCGGCTTCCGTATTTCCTTCGCTCTACTATTTTTCATCCAATTTCATTCTTTATTACCTTGCATTTTCTTTATTCACTTACGATTAAGTGCCTTTAGCGATTTCTTGATGGAATTCCTTTTTATGGTTCCGCGTGGAAACGCAACATTTTATAGTCATTCACTGTCTGTGGAAATTCCGGTAGTTTTGTGGGTGAATTGTTGCATTGCATAAACGAATTCTCTACAAAAAAAAAAAAACAAAATTGAAGAAAAAAATTAAAATTGTTAATTGGAAAATAGAGGAAATGTTATTATTTTAGTTTGATAAAAATCTGTCCTCTAAGCTCTAAACCAGTAAATCAAACAAAAAATATAAAATGATACTCACTTAATGATACTCACTTTCAAAGCCAGATACCCTTAATATTGATTTAATGAGAATTTGTTAACGGAGGTATTTTATCACATCATTTTTATAAAAATCACCAACATAGTTAATAGTGACTAGGCTATAGTTTATAGTGATGCTATTAAAAAGTTTATCCAAAACACATCTGATATGCTAGACCCGCCGACTAGACTGAGCCGACTAGAACTTCCTTACTACGCTATATGAAAGTCAACAATTTTACGTGGATAACTGACATGAATGTTTAACACCACGGTGTTCTTCCTATTTGCATCAGTATATTGCGCCGATGAACACCCCATCGGCACTCCGAAGCATTCCACCGGTATCAGTGTAAGTTTTGTGTTTGGGCATAATTTCCCCCTCTGCTGATCTAGGGGACATAGCACATGGTTAGAAAATGCAACTCCACATCGAATGATTACAAACGAATACGAATATTTTTGATTCGATTCAATTTAACTATGAGACAAAAGTTTACTTTTATCATATCTACTCGTATTTCAATGAAGATAATATGAACCCTACACTTATAATATTTAAATTATTATGGCTCAAAATATGGAATCAAATAGTCAATACTATTAACTATTAAGATAGCTAATATTTTGTGAATATAAAACTTAAACGTTTTTGCAGTATTCGGTTAGAATCAATGGGCTTTACTTTTTAGCTTTACTTACTGTCAGGTCTACAGCATGATTAATTGGTTGCAGTGACTAGGCGGCACATTTCCACTAGAAATCCTTGTAGAAAAACTTAATCCATCCAGTTGAGTTTATGTATTTCAACAGATAAATTGTTCTTACTGATGAATGATCTTCTGTAAAGCTCTGCCTCTTCTGTCAGCTAAAGCTGGGCAGCTACATAGAGGAAAATATTTGGGATATATGGTTTGCAATGTTGCATTTAATAATTTCAGTGTAATTTCCTTTAATTTATTCTCAACTAAGTTAGTTAAGTTAGCTCAATACTTCTGTAGCCGCAGTTAAAGAGAATAATGCTCATGTGACTATTAAGATAAGGATCATTCTGTCCTTATTCTCTTACTAGTTTTTATTTAATGGTGATAAATTTAAGTAACCTATTTGCCACTGAACAATCAATTATAAACACAATGACATACAGACATGCCTCTCTAATCCTTCAGTCTGAAGAACTCCTGATTCATTATATAGCAAGAAAGGTATATGCAATTTATATCTCTGAAAGGCGAAAATAATTCTGGATCTGCCCTACATTCTATCGCTTGAAAGTTTGTTAGAATGAATGTAAAGAAGTCGATGGTTAGTTGGAATGTAAAGTTATATAGGAAGTAATTCTCTTTTTATTAATTTGTTTTTTTTTTGGTATGAAAAAAGATAACTTTTTTATAGTGAATAAAGGTATAACTTCAATAGAACAGTGCTTATCCAACACATTTTGCCACACTTCTGAGAGTAGCACGATTCCATGCTCATCAAATTGTTGTTCTTTACTAAAAGAAAAGATTATTTCATGTGATTTTTGAAGCAACGATTTCACCGTCTAACAAATTTTGTAGAGGCCGGCATGGTAGAGCCGGCTTTCCAAAACATGATGCATCTTTATTTTCAAATTTGCTAGATTCAGGTTTAATTGAAAGTTTACAGACTACACCCAATCGCTTTCTTTATCTAAATTCAATCATTTCTTGATTAAAGAAAATTTGCAAATATAAAATATATAGGTCTTTGATAGGAATTAGGGTCTTGGCACAGTAATTAAAAATAACAACGATGTCAGTAGATGTTATAATCAGATCAGGAGTTAACTGGGACTGATCTAGCAGTTCTGAGAGTGTTTGACAGAGACCATAGTACAGAGAAAAGTGTTTGTTTTAGGAAAGTATATTTCTCAAAATACACACGGAGTAGAGCTGCCAAAACTCGGCAAGAAACTGTCAGGTCCCCCTAAGTAGTTAAGCAGTAAGTAAAAATCTACAAACTTGATAATGAACTACATGGTATGTGTGTTAATAAATAATAACTTTACTTTTAAAATCGGTAAGGACTTAAATTAATACTCTTCTGGAAAAAAAGCAATAGTTAAAAAAATGAGTCATTGTTTATTAGTTCATTTTACATTAAAAATCTTGATTTCACATTAAAACTAAATGTGTTGTAAAATGAATTTTATTGAAAATTTTGCGTTTTTATTAACGGTTGCGGTTAGTCACTAATTTTCATTTTAACAGGAAATAGAGCATCTGGTTTACATCAGTTTCAATACTTCAATAAACTGTTTTGAACATCAATTTTCTCTGATAAGTCATCAGAACCTCCAGTAGCCTCTGAATCATAACACACTCCATTAAAACCTTCTGCAACTTCTGAATCATCCGGTAATTTATCAAAAGATTCTACAGATTCAGAATCTTTGAAATCTTCTGCAGCGTCCTCTTTTGGTGATTCTAGCTCATCCATGTCCGCGGTTTCCTTAGTGCGCTTACCAGAATCTTTTGAATTTATATGTAAATTTGTGGCATCAACATACGATTTTTCTGCTAAGTCCGTAAGTTTATCAAAAGATTCTGCAGATTGAGAATCTTCAGAAATTTCATTGAAACCTCCTGCACCGTCCACTTTTGGCGATTCTAGCTCATCCATGTCTACGGTTTCCTCAGTGCGCTCACCAGAATCCTTTAAATTTATATGTGAATCTGTGCCATCAACATACGATTTTTCTGCTGAGTCCGTAAGTTTATTAAAAGATTCTGCAGATTGAGAATCATCAGAAATTTCATTGAAACCTCCTGCACCATCCACTTTTGGCGATTCTAGCTCATCCATGTCCACGGTTTCCTCAGTGCGCTCACCAGAATCTTTTGAATCAGATTGAGAATCTGCAGAAATTTCATTGAAATCTCCTGCATCGTCCACTTTTGGCGATTCTAGCTCATCCATGTCTACGGTGTCCTCAGTGCGCTCACCAGAATCCTTTGAATTTAAATGTGAATCTGTACCATCAACAGATTCTGCTGAGTCCGTTAGTTTGAGAAGAACTTTAGAGTCCCTAATTTTTTGCTTGTATTGTTTTATAAATGGTGCAAAGTATGGTGAGAAGTACTGCAGTAAATCATCACCCCCATTTTCTTCTTTTTCTTCACATTCAAGTTCCGCAACATCCTTTGTTTCTATCTTCAAGTTACTATTAGGTTCGCTATTAGACTCCACTTTAGAGTCCCTAATTTTATTTCTGTATTGATTTATAAACGGTGCAAAGTATGGTGAGAAGTACTTTAGTAAATCCTCACCCTCTTTTTCTTCTTTTTCTTCACCTTCAAGTTCCGCAACATCATCTGTTGCTACCTTCAAGTCACGATTAAGTTCGCTATTGGACTCCATTTTTTCCTGTTGTTAAAATCCGAAACATAAAAAAGTTATAATAGAAAAATATGAATTTTATTTAGGTTATAAAGATATTTTATGTTTTGACTGGCCTACTATTTTATATAAAAATTAATTTCTTAATTTAAATTATATATTAGAAGTCCACATGAGATTTATGTACATAGCTTTGTTTTGAAGTTTTTCAACACTGAAAATGGGTTCCTCTAAGAAAAGGTTTAATTTTTACATTATTTATATTTTATTTCTCGTCTTATTATTATCCGTTCACCCACTGTTGATAAAACATGATGTAAAAGGTTTGCAGTGAAATAACCACTAAAGAAAGATAAATCCAGAGATTGAAAAACCATAAATTAAAAACAGAAATTGAGAAACATTAACTAGATTCCAATAAAAAAAAATTTAACTCATCTAGACTATTTTTTTAGGTCTATGAAAATAGGCCTAGGTTTTAATAGGTTTTAAATTTTACAAGATTAATAGATCAATATAGTGTTGGTTAGTTAATTAGCTAATCATTCAAAATATTGTCAGTGGTTACAAATATTGGAAAGGCTTCTTACTTCTTAAAAAAGACAAACGGTGCACCAAGAGGTATAAACTACTTATCGTGAGACCTTGCGCCCAACTGTCTCTCGATATGTGTATCGTGTGTAAGGTGAAGTCGATAACTTCCGCACATTACACCCAGTATAAAAACGATATGTTTACAAAGCAAATTGCAGACTTTACTATACAGATATCTTCACCGAATACAAAATTTCAAATGTGCAACTAATGAGCCTAACATATATTTTATTACAAACTTTGAGATTTACAGAATAAAATTGGGTTGAATTATCAAAACCAAGGTGTTATGTATAGCTCTTCAGGTATCAGAAGCATTAATTAGTCTCGGGATGATATAGTTATGACAGTTTGTATTTCATACGAATACTGCCAAATTAGGAAAAATTATATCACTAATGCAGCGACGACATCCACTTATGGACTATCCGTACCTAATATAAAGTCATATTGGAATCTTTTGATGATAAACAATACTGTTGATGGTAAGGGTGTGGTGCTGGCTGATTACACCGTTGTAATACTTTAGAGCATACTAACCAATAATAACGAATGCACTAAATGTCGTATTATAAACAAAATATGCCCATGTGCATTTTTCTTTCAATGAATCAATGATCCAGCCCATACATATCCCTGTATAAGCTTCTACTCTATACCACAATCCTATAAAAATTGGGCTTTTAATGAATATACCAACCCTCTTATTCCTAAGATCTGGTTGACAGAGATTAATTTTGTATTCTATGTTTAAAGAATGGGAGAGTAAAAATTTTAATGAAATGAGATTATATATTACCTGTTCTACTCATAAATAATATACCTATATATACAGAAAACGTTTCACATTACACTAGATATTAGGATTAAAGATGTTAAAGCGTCTTTGCAAAGTAGAAGATTTTTTTTTCTATATTCAATGCATAACGTTTCAAAAACCTCTCCTAAAATTTAGAATATAATCCCTTAAGGGAAAGCAGTGGTGGTTCTATTATTAATATTACCAAAGTTACAGTATGTTAATGAAAGTGTTACCACTACAAAGTCTTCAGTCATCACATGACATATAATAATTACTTACTCAACGAATCTTCAAAGAGTACTTACTTGCTGCTAAACACTGCAGTTACTTTACAAAGACCTCTCCGATATTTAGCCGATTGTAAGAAGTCCTAATCAATGAACCATCAAAGTGCTTCCTTTCTTTCTTTCAACTGTTTTCTTGCTTCAGATGATATTTTTCTATTCCCCCAAAAAAAACCACGATATGGAAAAAATGTCGAAATTTGAAAAGAAAGCAATAATAATTTATTCACTGTAGCACATCTCACAGTGATATTATGAAGGACGTGTTAAACTCTATTTAAACTCTACACAATTTATATTATTATCTTATTTTTATTATTTATTTTTTTTATTATTTATATCATTTAATAAAACAAAATTTTTTTTTTGTAAAGTTGATTATTAAAAACATAAATGCTTTTTTATTATTTGGTTTATATTTGTTTTATTTATTTGTTATTATACATTAAGACTGAAAAGTTTTCGGAAATTCTCATTTAAAATTCGCGCGCTGTATATTTTTCGATATTTTAAGTTTATGTAGTTTGGCAGCACTGTCCTTAATTACTATGCCAAAAATGAGCGCGATCTGTCAGACAGTTCGTTTACGGCAGCTGTTGAACCCAGTTCACCTCAGTAGTGCGTTGCGAAATGTCTTCGACGGTCGTACGACCGTCCTGAAAGGCTTTGTACCACTCATAAACTTGAGTTTTCGATAAAACTGATTCCCATAAGCCTTTTGTAGCATTCGCAACGATTCTGCACACGAAATTTCGTTCGAAACACAAAATTTGATGCAAACTCTTTGTTCAATATTTTTTTCCATTGTTTTTTTCGCAACGCACTACTGAGGTGAACTGGTTTCAACAGCTGCCGTAAACGAACTGTCTGACAGATCGCGCTCATTTTTGGCATAGTAATTGTCCTTAATTGCTGCCAAACTACATAAACTTAAAATATCGAAAAATATACAGCGCGCGAATTTTAAATGAGAATTTCCGAAAACTTTTCGGTCTTAATGTATACTCAAATAATTAGGCCAGCACTACTGTAAGGATATGTAACTTATTGCAAAGCCTCAAATATTGCCATAAAGCAATTACATATAGCACAAAATCTGGCTTTAAGAAGACTAATTAAGATTCTTTGGTATATTAGAACAACAGACATGCATAGAGATCTAAGAATTGACTCAGTAAAAAAATATATCAAGGATAGAGCCCTAAAATTATTCACAAAAGTTAATATGTTGCCAAATCCCGCCCTAACAAACCTTAAGTCCATCTCAGGACGAACAGGAAGATATGCTGATCTACGGGCCGTCATCAGTTAGAAGATAAATAAATGATAATGATTCTAGTATATGGTAGTTAAAGTTTAGTGTGAGGCAGGGATAAGCCCCCCAGCCACAAAAGAGTAAAAGTGAGCAATAGCATTAACTCAAATCACAACAACAACAATAAAAAAATAAAAATTATGACGTTTGACGTTCATTGTGTCAGTGTGGTTTTTAATGGTATTATGTAGCACAATTGTGCTATATCGGATATAAATTTTATAAGAATGTGCTGTTTGCTTTGAATGTTTGATTTGATTGAATTGTTAACATAAGCATGTATTCGTTCCTGTAGAATAATATTCGGACGACTCTTTTCATCTTCCCTACTCCCATTAAAGCCTCCACTATCCTTTTATATTGGATTCTGTTACTTGGTCGACGGTTGCCTTGACGATTCCAACTCATAGCTTGACGTACAATGTTTACGATGGGTCTGTTGAGATTGTGACCTATCCAACGCCATTTGCTTCTATATATATCTCAACAGTAGCAGGTGATTGATTCGTGATGGCCCATAGATTGGTGTTTGTGATGCGGTTCCGCCACCACATTTTTAATATTTGACGTAAGCATTTGTTCACAAAAGTTTAAAGTTTTGTATCAATCTCTCTTGATCTTTTCCATGTCTCACAAGCATACAAAAGCACAGACTTTAGGTTAGAGTTGTAATTGCCAAGTTTTTTACTAGATGACTATTCATTTTGCCAAAAAAAAAGCTGTAAGAATTAAAGTATTACACCCCTTTGCGGTTCATCAACATAAAGGTGGACATCACCCACCTCCACAAATATACAATCCCGGGTTTTATTATGCTTAATAACGTTAATAACGTAGCAACGTTCTTCCTTAATTTATGAAATTTGTATTAACCAAAGTTATTTAATGCCAACGAAAAAGGTGTTCCCCAGTCCTTTTCCAGCCAATTGAACAGACAGACGGACTAACCATATTGAACGCTTTTACTGATGTGCTTCAAATGATTATATTAAATATATCATAGAAATATTTGTTAACGTTTTCTTAATATCCAAATAAATAAGGATATATAATATATATGCAAATATTAATAAATCCCTTTATACATTTTATATATCCATTTTGTGGTTCAAAAAGTAAACGTAAATAAATAATTTAAATATATTATGAGGACCATGCTATTTAATGTGAGATACCATATAATTAAACAATTCATCACGAAAAATCTTACAGTACTAGATTCTTCTGAGGTCGTTTTTAATGACTTGTCGGCTCATAATTGGCAATAGCTCGATCATAATTAGAATGTTTGATGGAGCTGAATATAAATCTATGAGAATATGATGATAACACTTTCAAAGCGTCAAGGGTTTAGAATTGTAAGTATAAACATTTTCCATGCCTTAAATGAAAGTTCTGTTTGACATCAGTACTGTCTAAATTGGACCACGAAATAGATGACCTCTTATCATATGTAAACTTTGAAATAAGAATATTAAGTACATATCAGTATATATATTGTTTTGTGACACTTTGTATTGTAACTATTAAATGGAACAAACAAAATTGATACTCCTTACTTCATTGATATATTCAATGGGGCACACGAGAGTCAATGTGAGCATTAGTAACTCTTAGAAAGCATCAATAAACTTAATTCCCCTTTTAGTGATGAAGCCCCATCGTTTAGAACTGTGAAGCTCTTATATAAATAATCTGAAAGCATGCATGGTTCGGTCAAGGCAGCTATTAAAGCTATCTCAGCAGTTTGCATTTTATCTAAAATAGTTCAGGAATGTAGATAATTTATCAATTTGCTATGTGGTAGCTTCAAGGTAACACTAGTTTGTGTTCGCGAACATTATAGTAACAAGGGACGAACTCGAAGATGAGCTAGCAACGCAAAATCTCTTATATGAAACTTCAAATCCACTTCTGCTCCTGCCAACCCCAGCGAAAGTTGATTTACGACCATTTTTTGCAACAGGTCAATAAGAATTGGGCTTTAATTATTTGAATTTAATATAAATATGAACCCTATTTTATAATTGGGCTGCAGCTACGACATGAGTTTTATAATTTTCATATTCCAAATATATATATTTAATTAAATACCTGTCCTAACAGGAACAGTACTATACGACGGCATGGAGCCAGGCTTGGCTTGCCTTGTCGGATATTCTATAGTACATGCCTAGCCGACGATCGAATGGGATATACTGAAACACCTGTTATCTGTTTATCCGGGCTTGTCCAAAATTAAGCTTAAGCTATAAGACCTCACATTTTTTAACACACTTGGCGATATTTTCAATATAAGTATCAGGCAGTTACTTGTATTTATCTATGCGCCCTGTTGATTTTAATATGCCCATCCTTCTACACACAATTATAAGGAGTATGGAATCAAACCGGCTTTTATTAGCTAATTGAGAAGGATTCGTTCTTGCTTTCATTTCACCTACCTACTTACCTACCTATGAGAAAACCCCATCATAATTTGTCAATACTCGAAACAGCTGTATAGTTAGCCAAAAGTTCAATTAATTAAAATAATATAAAAATAATTTTTCTTGCTGTAGTTCACCTCTCGACTTATGTTAATTAAATTAAGATTTGGTCGTTCCTATTGGCATAAGCTGATTTATGCATGTGAAATAGCTTGTTTGTTTACATTTTACATATCGAACATATGATAAATATATCAAATATTGGTCATTTCCCTGGTGTGAAATTTATTTTTAATTGTTGCATTCGACATTTTTCGCCTTAAATCAGTTAATTTATTAATAATTAGCTCATTTATATGATAGCCCTTTGTATGGTTAATTATCGTCATTAGCGTCATTGGCCTTAATGAGCAAAATTGCCTAAATAAGACAAGTGGAAACATGGTATTAAGTAATTTAATAAATATCACCATATTTCATTCGCCCTTAGTAGCGATTACTGTACTTAAGATAGCCCTTCTTACTTCTTAAAAATATTAATACTTGAAATATTGTAGGATCTCAGTCGTAATTATCCAATCGGTATTTGCTAAGAAAAATACAGAGTCGAACACATCCTCAGATGTTGTTGTTGCTGTTGTTGTAAGCACCTGAGGATGAAGTGAGAAAGGAGTACAGACTGCTTATGGACTTCGTATTTACTATACGTTAAACCAGCAACAGCCACAACAACAAAAGCTTTTGTAGATTTTATACTTTTTGGTGTAAATACTCCATTCACTATTTTTCTGTTCTGTTATGAACTCTTCTCGGGTTTTTATTGTGCTACTTATTACTATTTAGCCAGACACCAGACACCAGACTTTGCTCCTACTGGACTCCTTTAAAGTTTTTTTATTTATTTGGTTCAAATATTGTTAAAGGAGAACGTACTCGCTGTTGTTGTTGTTGTTTTTGTTGTCGTGCCCTTATTTAACTTCCAGCTAAAGAAAAGTAGAACTACACACACACAGACGAATGTTGGGAAAATGAATAAAGAAGCAAATAGAACAAAGGCAACCCAAGACAGCGCAGCTCCTCTGCATGCCTTACTCCTCGCAATTTTCCCTTTTTATGTGTGTTCTGCTTGCTCAACGCCGCCGCTGACGCTGACGATGACTGTGACGGTGACGCTGATGCTGTTTGCATTGTTTACGTTAATGTTTATGTTTATGCTACGGTTGTTGTTATTTATGTTGTTGTTTTGTTCTGCTCTTCTTGTCGCTTTTGTATTTTATGCACTGCTGAGGTAGCACGCAAAAGTACACATTATAGGTTATGTGTATGTTTTTGTTGTGTCTGTTGCCACCGATGTTGCAGGGACAATTTCTGTTGTTTCGTTTTCTGAATTCCTGTTGAAATTTCTAATCGCAGAAACCTTCCACCCTAACGATGCATGCCTCTAGGCCAAAAGAGTCTGCCACGAAAGTGTATGCTTAGCTATATACTAAGTTGGCCCTTAATTGCTGCAACATATTGTTAGCTTAAAAAACTAACGGAAAACATTAAAAAAAATGCTCC